AAAAAAAAAAAAAAAAAAAAAAGTTTCATTATTTGAGCAAGAAAAATGTGATTCAAGTGTTGCAGTCCCAGAGAATGCCTGGATTCCCTCTTGAGGCAGTAGGTCTCCTATAGGACCACACCTCTTCCTAATGGTAAGGAAGAGACCACACTCACTCCTACCTACCTGCCGCTCAAAACCAATCTTTACTGGGCAATGTGGAGAACACCTTTGGACCTAGCATTTGGGATTAAAGGATCTCTTTGAGATCTAGTCCAGCCTTGTCTACATACTGAGACCCCTGTCTCAAACAAGAAAATAACACAAACACACACACAACCAATTTTTGCAAGTCTTGAAGTTTGAGATTTTCTCTCTCCCCCTTCCCTCTCCTTTCCTCCCTCCCCCCATCCTTCCTTTCCTTCTCTCTCTCTTCTTTCTGTTTGTTTTTCTTGAGAGGATCTTATATAGCCCAGGATAGCCCCCAAATTACTACATATTCCAGTTGGCCTCACACTCAGGATCTTCCTCCTTGGGTTTCCAATTGTTTGAGTTATAGACAACCATCTATAAGTTTGTCTTGAAGATTATTTTTTAAAATCCCAAACACTGGAATTAAACTCATACACCACCACTCCAGAAGACTTCTTATGTATAGTAAGACATAGACTAAGCAAGCAAGCGAGTGTGTCTGTGCGTACACACACACACACACACACACACACACACACACACACACACACACACAAACAGCTATCCATTGCATGTTCTTCCTTCAGAACTAAGTCATAAGAGTTGTTGATGTGTGATCATCCAGCACTGTGGAGCATCGGCAGCTAAACACAATTCTTCCCTGATAACTTCATAGTCAACCAGGGGGATGGATCTATCTGAAGCAGGATCCAGAGGATGAAGGCCCATTTCTTGGCACTCAGTCAGTAAACACTATGGATGTCTTAACTATGGATTTGAGCATCTGTCCTTCCTCATAGTTTTCCAGAGACTAGAGGTTGGAGTGTCCTGTAATAGTTCAGGATAGAGTGAGGAGTAGCCTCGGTGTTGATGGGGTGGGTGTTCTTTTGAGCAGAGGCCAGTGATGGGATTTAAAAAGTAAAAAGTTGCAATCATTTTTGTCATCCAAATCTGGAAGTTGCAAGTCATCCAGTAGATGGCGCCTCGCACTCTTTTATCACTTTGATTTCTTTTCTATTACTAATTCAAGTAATTTTTCCCTTCCTGGCTTTAAAATAATGTGCCACTGTTGATTGTTCTCACTCGGTAAGGAAAAGGGAGCTGAGGTACTGGTGGTTATGGATCAGGAGGTCAACAGGAGAGAGAACCCTGGTATTCTCATGGCAAGCCGTACTGTAATTTCACCTCAGAGTAAGAAGTAAACGACTAGTCATGGAAAGAAGCAAGGCAGTGAGAGGCTCAAGAGTGAGCCTCCTGATACGGGATGAGTGCACCACACCCGCCAAGACTCAGAGAACATCTTGAGGAAAGGGGAAGACTTCAGGAGCCAGAGAATAAGGAGGGTGCCTTAAAAAGCCTTCTAGGAATGCCATGGCCGTTGCTCTCATTGTAGCTGTGGTTACCTCCTCAAGACCAGCACAAGATGGAGTCCATCAACATTTCAACATGGTGACAGAGGGGCTCATGAAGGGCCACCCTCCCTGAGGGGCTATTGACAGTTAATGGTGGCTGGGGGAAGGAAGGCTCATTTTTTTAAAATTTATTTTTATATTTATTTATTTAGGTTTTTCGAGACAGGGTTTTTCTGTGTAGCTTTGTGCTTTTCCTGGAACTCGCTTTGTAGACCAGGCTGGCCTCGAACTCACAAAGATTCACCTACCTCTGCCTCCTGAGTGCTGGGATTAAAGGCGTGGGCCACCACCGCCTGGCGGAATGTCATTTTCTTCAGCGGTCTAACTACTGGAAAGTTTCCCAGGCCCCAGAAAATAACCTCCCACCCATTACAAGCAGCCTTCATTTAACTCAGTGTATCACACATTAAAAAAAATAAATAAATAAACATATGACAGCAGGAGGGGACTTCTTGGAAAGAAGGGTTTTGGTGGAAGAGGAACTGGGCATGAGAGAGGGTAATGGCATTGACAATGACTAAAATTTATTAAATACATATTAGAATGTATGCAAGGATAAATGTTTTCTAAAATGAGCTTTTAATTCATTTTTTTACTCTTGATTTTTATGTTTTTTTTTTGTTTTTGTTTTTGTTTTGTTTTTGTTTTTGTTTTTTGAGACAGGGTTTCTGAGTAGCTTTGGAGCCTGTCCTGGAACTCACTCTGTAGACCAGGCTGGCCTCGAACTCACAGAGATCTGCCTGCCTCTACCTCTGGAGTGCTGGAATTAAAGGTATGCACCAACACCCAGCTGATTTTTTTAATTAATCATTTTTATATTGTATGTGAGTGTTTAGCCTGCATTTATGTATTTGCACTGCACAAATGCCTGGTACTCAGGGAGTCCAGATCTCCTGGAATTGGAGTTACAGCAATGTTGGTTTTAAAAAATGATAAGTGGCGCTGTTACAGGGCAAAAAGGTCATGAGACACAACAAAGCCCAGTATCAGAACTTTATTGGGGGGGGAGGACAAAAGAGAGTAACCAGGCCTGGGGGAGACACATATGCAGACAGAGAGAGAGAGAGAGAGCAGAGAAGATGGGGAAGGAGTCTGTCCGGCTTTTTAAGGATTCCCTTGTACATGCACATGTGGGTTTACCGAGCTACGAGCTACACCACGCATACGCTGATTGTGTGACCACACTAAGCATTTGCTCAATCACGCAGCACACGGATGATATAAGACACAAGACCCCTGCTTAGCGACTGAACTGCGCATGTGTAGTCATGCAGCTGGCTGGAGTGGCAGAATCCTAACAGCCACCTGGTGTGAGCTGCCATCTGGGTGCTGAGAACTGAATCCCACTCCTCTGCTGAGAAAGTAAGTGCTCTTAACGGATGGGCTATCTCTCCAGCCCTAGGTTTTTTAGTGTATTATAGTTTTCAGAACACCTGAAGATTTTCCTTGGTGAAAATAACTCACCTGGGGCTGCAGAGATGGCTCAGTGCTGAGAATACAGGCTGCTTTCCAGACGGCCCAGGTTTGATTCTAGCACCTACATGGTAGGTCACGACCATCTGTAACTCCACTCGGAGGGGATCCAGTGCCATCTTCTGGCCTCGGTAGATACTGAACACAGGCATACATGCAGGGAAAACACCCA